CTTGTATATGTGGATAGCCTCATGAACGAATCTCTCATGGTAGCCAGATGGCTTACAAAGAACCTCTGTCTTGGAAAAGTCAATGGCATGTGAGCCTACTGAATTATAACAATGATCTGCCATGGCCGAGGTGTTGGTCCTACCGTGTTTAAGGTCTGCTTTGTGTTCACGAATGCGGTCCGAGACATGGCGCTTGGTTTCTCCAATGTAACTACTACCACAGAGGCAACTTAGTTTGTAGACACCAGGGTATTGTATGTCCGGAATCACATCTTTTACAGACGGAACCAGATCACGGATTTTATGTAATGTGTTGAAACGGACCTGGATCTTGTGTTTATTCAAGATTTTGGAGATCTTTTTAGTGATCCCTGCAATGTAGGGTAAGGTTATGGTTTTGAGTGGCTCCACAAGAGGATCCTTCTTCATGACTGGAGTGATGGCTTTGTGGATTGTGTAGTCGGAGTAACCATTAGCCCTGAGAGCCTGGTGTACGTGCTTGAGTTCACTGGTAATGTGTTCCTGGTCGGAAATGCATTGGGCTCTATGGTATAGAGTCTTGATGAGGGAGTTCTTCTGGGATGGATGGTGGTGGGAATCCGGTTTCAAGTAAGCATCTGTGTGGGTAGCTTTCCTGTAGACAGAGTGGCTCATTGAACCATCATGTCTCCTTTTAATTAAGACGTCCAAAAAAGGTAGTTTGCCATCTTTTTCGACCTCCATGGTAAATCTGATGGCTGGGTGTATGTCTCTCTTGATGTATGTAAAATGTATCAACCTCAATTAGCTCGCCCAACAATGCACTGTTAAAACACTGATAGTGCAATACAAAAAAAATAACAATGCCACAACGTCTATAGCTAAATTGTGCTATGCTCCAATGTCTACACACTCAGCCTTCACCAGCGTGGTGAGGTATGGTCAAGTAATCACGACCCTCACAGTGCGTGGAGGCCCCTCATCCAGCAGTGGAGTGACAAATGGATGTACAAAAAAGGTCATCGTGATATTAACCCACAGAACTTTTAAACTCTCTAGTTCCCACAAAGACAGTATCTGGGTCTATGCCCTTTTTATAATAACAGTAATTAAACATTGTTCATGGGCCAGAATCCCAGCATCGAATACTGAATTTTACTTATCACCTGAGATAACACTGGAATTGTGCCAACATCTTCAAATCACCAACACAAGTAAATTGTGTAATATTTCATCATTATACCTCCTTTGCCAGTACCAAAATGTAATAATATGGTTTTTCCCCTTTTTTTGGCAACAAAAACTGAAACCTTTTTACAAGGATTCATGTCTGCATTAACCACAATACCTGCAGTCAAAATGCAAACAAAAAACATACTATGATAATATATGCATTAAATTTCGATTTAAAGCTTTCGTGACTGCAAGGATTCATCTTCTTTGGTTCTTTCGGTAAAGTCACGAAGAATGAGAATAAAATAATAAATTGATAAAATAAAATAACACAATAATATTCTCACGACGTTTCGGCCACAACACAAGCGGCCTTCATCAGGTGAAGGGACGAGACTGTCTGGAGGACAGCGCTGGAGTGAAAAAGCCACGCTCAGATCGTGACCTTTAAGCTGTGTGAGAAGAAACAAAGCGCCTTGACAAAGGAATTAGCATATAATTTAGCATTGAAATGGCTGAGTGATTAGCTTGTGACTGGTCACAGAAAAGGCTATGTTAAAGTTAAAGCATACACATCCGCAGAGGCACCCCTTGACAAAGGAATTAGCATAGAATTTAGCATTGAAATAGCTAAGTTAAAGCATACACATCTGCAGAGGCACCCCTTGACAAAGGAATTAGCATAGAATTTAGCATTGAAATAGTTAAGTTAAAGCCTGCATTGTCCTTGAAACTGATTGGTCCAAACCAAGGGACGGCTTTCTTTTGAGTCTCGACCCAATTGGTGCTCGACCAGATGACATCAAAAGCGTCCTCTGGTCGAGCACCAATTGGGTCGAGGCTCAAAAGAAAGCCGTCCCTTGGTGTGGACCAATCAGTTTCAAGGACAATGCATGTATTATCATAGTATGTTTCTTGTTTGCATTTTGACTGCAGGTATTGTGGTTAATGCAGACATGAATCCTTGTAAAAAAAGGTTTCAGTTTTTGTTGCCAAAAAAAAGGGGAAAAACCCTATTGTTAATTTTTGATTTAAAGCTTTCGTGACTGCAGTAATTCATATTCTTAGTTCTTTCGGTAAAGTCACGTTGAAGGGAAACAATAAAATAATAAAATATATATAAAACAATAAAAATTCTCACGACGTTTCGACCATAACACAAACGGTCGTCATCAGGTGTGTCGGTTTGCATAAATGTATTTTTAAACGGTGTATTTATTTATTTATAAAAAAACGTTAGCACCACGCGCAGCGATTTGTCACTTTATTTAGAAGGACTAGTCCATCTATGTTCTGAAAAGAGGAGGGGGAGATGAAAAATTTAATGTATGCTGTCTGAAAGCCACTGTAAGCGTGAACAATCAATTAAGACCTGAAATGGTTTATCAAATCTTTCCAATGATTGCTAAGCCAGAATCCATCTTCTCGGTTGAAATTCAGACAAAAAACGAGCCAGTTTGTAGGTCGGGGAGTTGATACTATCCTGCGTCCTTTCACTGGAAAAACCACCTCTGCGGTACAAAATTCTACTCACCTGTATCGACAATCAAGGGTATTTCCCTGTCCCCAGACGACCTGCTTGTCAGTTTTGATGTAGTTTCCTTATTCACCAAGGTTCCTGTACCTGACACCATCGCAATCATTGAAGACTTGGTTCATCAAGGACTAAACACTGAGGTACCCCCCCTGGTGAGACACTGTTTAACCAATACATACTTCACTTGGAATGGAACTTTCTACAAACAAACTGAGGGCACCCCAATGGGCTCCCCCCTATCTCCGGTTATAGCTAACATTTTCATGGAGAAATTTGAGACTGACGCCATCCAGACTGCCACTCTGCGCCCAACCTTATGGAAGAGGTACGTGGATTACACTTTTGTCATCTGGCCACATGGCCGGCCTGCTCTAGACCAATTCTTCGACCACATCAATTCCATACACCCAGCCATCAGATTTACCATGGAAGTCGAAAAAGATGGCAAGCTACCTTTTTTGGATGTCCTAATTAAAAAGAGACCTGATGGTTCAATGAGCCACTCTGTCTACAGGAAAGCTACCCATACGGATGCTTATCTGAAACCGGATTCCCACCACCATCCATCACAGAAGAATTCTCTCATCAAGACTCTGTATCATAGAGCCGAATGCATATCCGACCAGGAACACATAGGCAGTGAACTCAAGCACGTACACCAAGCTCTTAAGGCTAATGGTTACTCCGACTATACAATCCGCAAAGCTATCACTCAAACCATGAAGAAGGACCCTCTTGAGGAGCCTTTCAAAACCATCACTTTACCCTACATTGCGGGGATCACAAAAAAAGTTCTCCAAAATCTTGAATAAACACAAGATCCAGGTCCGTTTCAACACATTACATAAAATCCGTGATCTGGTTCCGTCTGTAAAATATGTGATTCTGTACATACAGTACTCTGGTGTCTACAAACTAAGTTGCCTCTGTAGTAGTAGTTACATTGGAGAAACCAAATGACATGTCTCGGACCGCATTCGTGAACACAAAGCAGACCTTAAACACGGTATGACCAACACCTCGGCCGTGGCAGATCACTGTTATAATTCAGTAGGTTCATATGACATTGACTTCTCCAAGCCATCTGGCTACCATGAGAGATTCGTTCATGAGGCTATCCACATATACAAATACAGAGACAATTTCAACTGAGAAGATGGATTCTGGCTTAGCAATCATTGGAACGATTTGATAAACCATTTCAGGTCTTAATTGATTGTTCACGCTTACAGTGGCTTTCAGACAGCATACATTAAATTTTTCGTCTCCCCCCTCCTCTTTTCAGAACATAGATGGACTAGTCCTTCTAAACAAACTGCCAAATCGCTGCGCGTGGTGCTGACGGGTTTTATAAATAAATACACCGTCAAAAAATAAATTAATTAATACGGACCGACACACCTGATGACGACCGTTTGTGTTATGGTCGAAACGTCGTGAGAATTTTTATTGTTTTATATATATTATTTTATTGTTTCCCTTCAACGTGACTTTACCGAAAGAACTAAGATTATAACCCTATTATTATAATATTGTGCAATATTATTTAATAAGCATGTCTTCATGTACTTGTATTAGACATACACGTATACACAACATACAACGGGTGTTATATATGCAGTAACACTTACTGCACATTACACTGTAACACATTTTTTTTTGTTCCTGGGTAGTAAGTGTTATTTCCTAATTGCTTATGCCTCCAAAGTACAGAAAATGGCTATTATTCCCCACAAACTTTGCTTTTGTGACCAGGGCAATGATATTTTTTAATTGACCTATTTTTTTTCAACGAGAAAACGTGCGAATTTGTGTCTTTTCGTTCGCATGAAGTCAGAAAAAAACAACATGAATTAAAATAAACATGTATTTATTACTGTGTTTTGTCTCTCAAATTTAGCAATCTTTGGAAGAACGTAATCAACTGTTGTGTTAGCCGACTCTCTGTGTTGTATTGCATTGTATTTCTAAGTTCACAAGCTTTGTTTTCTACCCGATGACGACCGCTTGTGTTGCAATCGAAACGTCGTATTATATTTATTTTATTTCATCGCGACTTGACCGACAGAACCAAAGAGTTAACGAAGTTATAATCTTAGTTTTTTCGGTAAAGTCACCAACACACCTGAAGACGACCGTTTGAGTTATGGTCGAAACGTCGTGAGAATTTTTTATTGCTTTATATATATTTTATTATTTTGTTGTTTCTCTTCAACGTGACTTTACCGAAAAAACTAAGAATATGAATTACTGCAGTCACGAAAGCTTTAAATCAAAAGTTTACGAAGTTGCCTGGGGAGCCAGAGAATCGATTCGATGGGGGAGGTTCTACCGCCCCGTGAGAATCGCCGAATCGATTCAACTCCGCTGACGCAAGCAGAGACCACCCGGCTTTGGTGTTTCTGGGCGGCGGCAGCAGCAGCAGCAGCGCCTTCAGAGTTCCTCCCGGGCGATCGAGAGCGGTGAGTTGCGACGCGGGGACGCGAAGTACACGGGGGTTCACCCCGGGCCAATGGCACTAAGATTCCCTCCCCGGGACCCCGGCACGGGGACCGACCTCGGCTAGTCCGACTGCCCGGGTTTCAGCGCCCGAACCCCGGCAGCACTCCCAGAACGACGGCCTTGGGCCGCGCCCGAGTCGGGGTGGTGTCGTGGCCTGGGTGTGTTGACTGAATTGTGTTAAGTGTTGAGTTAAATGAATTAATAACTCGTTCGTTAAGTGTAACGTTAATGGTTGTCAATGGGAAATTGTTCCACGTGTCGGTTAAATGTTTTTCGTATACAATGCCAATTCAAATCCACTGTACTTAAGTGTCAATTATTCAGCACTATTAACGCATTCCATTCAGAATTACCTACTAATGTCCATTAAAAACATGTTAAGTGCGCAAAATGAATAATTATTACTATGCCCAGTCAATGCTATGTAATCCAATTCATGACCGTCCATAAATAATGTGAAGGCTAAATTTTGATTTAAAGCTTTTGTGACTGCAGTAATTCTTATTCTTAGCTCTTTCGGTAAAGTCACGTTGAAGGGAAACAATAAAATACTAAAATATATATTGTATATATTATATATAAGAATATAAATATATTATATATAAGAATATAAATATAATGTGAAGGCTGTTGGGATATGACAACTTTGACATGGCATATGTTGAGTAATTGGCCGAAACATCAGCCAACTGTACAATTATTGGTCGAGTGAATTTGCATCGCTACGCCACAAGAATAGAATCTCGCGTGACTTGTACCATATGGTAACGTGGTGCAGGGAATGCAAAAAAACCGGCCTGTGCTGGCTTATTAAATAAAGAAACACGTCGTTTCGGTTCTACAATAGTTAGGCAAGGTGAGGGAATGGCAGTCGTTAACCTTAGGCGGTCGTTTTAGAAGTGTCGCAATGAATTGGTTGTGTGTCAGGTGCGAGTGGCGTTTGGAATTGTACTTGGGTGTTGGTCATGAAAGCTGATACCGACAGCAGTGACTCACACATATCTGTTGGTCGTGAGCGGGAATGGAACTCTGGTCAACGAGTTCGTAGCTACACTATCGCACGCCCTACATACATATGAATATGCACACGCATTCCAGCACACATTGACACATGCACTGTGTTTATTCTGACAGGAGCTCCTAAGACGCAGTGATTCGTTTTGGCCGAGATGTCTACGGCCCATGACTTGTCCCTGGGGGAACTGTACAAGCGGGTGTCAGAGCAGGGAGAGGTCGTGAGAGACCTCAAGGCACAGAATGCGCAGAAGGTAAGGGAAGAGAAGAAGGATGGAAGGTACAGAAGGCTCATCCTTCCATTGGAATGACTGCCTTGGAACTTGTTGACAAGGATGTGAAACCATGTTAAGGGAAGTAATACTAACTCATTTGACTGCAATGCGATGTTTGGCCAATGCCATTCATGCATGTCTGGTTTCGTGTAGGGGAAACCGAAAAATTTGGAGAAACCCGATAATACTTGAAAGTACTGTTTTTTACCCACACAAGTACTTACCAGAATCAACCCAGTTTAGCTTGCATTATTTGACATGGTGACATGAGAAGGGCAAGATGGAGTGTAAACGCCACAGTTTGAATGGATTATCAATTATCTGCCCCAGGTATGGAAGAGCAGACCGCTTTTTAACTTTTTTCACGCTTCACCCCAGCCGTGTATCCTGTAGAAATTGGTGGGCACTGCAAGTGTATTTGTAAAATGCAGTTTGACCCGATTTCCCTCTTTACATAAAAACAAACAGATTTTTTTACTCAAACCCTCATAAAGTTGAATTACTATGATACATATAGAAAAATGTTGGATATTGCGAACTACAACTCATAAATTATTTCTTTTTTTGCAATTTTGTCAAAAAATTGCACTAAACTGTTTTCTTGACTTTAAGAGGGATGGCAATAATGATAGTTGTGATTGTTGATCAACGAATTTGAATATATATTAAATAAACAAAAAAGAGTGTATTTGTTATGGTGGTTCCATTTTAAACATCATTAGTTCAGTGGTTTGGCTGTAGAGTGTGCTGGCTGTGTAACTGCACTCAAGCCCATTGATTGGAGGGGAAATTGAACAGGGGGCTTCATTTAATTCCTCCCAGTGTCAGTACGACAAAACCCCAAGCTCTGTATCTGTTGCCACTATGGGTCACCACCAGGATGAGGTCAAGGGAGCAGTACAGAAGCTGCTGGAGCTGAAGCTGGAGTATATGCGAGTGTCGGGGCACGAGTACCAGGCTGACGCCCCACCCGGCAAGGTCCCCAGCGACCCTGCTGCACAGGAAGCGGAGACAGACCACGTGGACCCATGGAATGTGCAGACCTCCAGCGCCAAGGGCATCGACTACGACAAACTCATCGGTATGGCTCCCGGCGGTGGGGTAGAGGTGTGGCGGCACACCAGTGGTTTAATCACAGACGCAAGCTTGAAAAAAAACCTCAAGCCTATAAGGAGATAGCACTCAGAGGTGCATACACAGGTTCAAAAAGCTACTTGCTGTGAAACCATCTCTTAGTCACTTCACAGCCCAGCAGGTTTTTGGAGATTCACAAATCTTTGTGATGGATCAAACTGTCCATTTCAAAACGCTCGATCACGGGTGTACGCCCCAACATCTGCGCACCACCACCATGCAAAAACTTTGCCCGTATCGGTTAAATGTTCGTTCTCTTACCGGATGTTGGTTGTATTCCACTGTCAGTCAACTTCGGGAGCAGTAAAATCGACCAGGACCTGATCGACCGGATCGAGCGGGTCATTGGAAAACCGGCGCATCACTTTCTCCGGCGAGGCATCTTCTTTTCACACAGGTACTGGCGCTGCCATGATGGGGGTTCCAGCCCCTGTGCAGGCGCACCCATGACTTCTGCTTTACAGCCTCATTTTTATTAGACCTCGTATCATGATGCTTTGAAATTCAAACCGTATTGTGAACCTCAATCGATCCGAATGTGCAGTGGTGCTGACACGGCTCGCAAATGAGAGCAGCAAAACAACAAAGTTTTCTGGCACAGAAAGTACCCGTTAATAATACACCTTGAAACCCGAAATGGATAACGCAGGTATTACCGCTGACCGCAGTCTTAACCCCTCGCAGGGACATGCACCAACTGCTGGACGCGTACGAGGCCAAGAAGCCGTTCTTCTTGTACACGGGGCGTGGGCCGTCGTCGGACGCCATGCACGTCGGCCACCTCATCTCCTTCATATTCACCCAGTACGTGACCGGGACTCTGCTTGGACACATCGCTTGATCCGTATGACCACTGGCAGATGACGTGTATGCACACAAACAGAAAAGAGATATTACTATTAAAAAGAGGAACTGAGGTGGTTACACGGTAGGGAGCACATTTCCACAAGCCCTACAACAACAGTCACATAAAAAAATGATTGTTAGACCTGATAACAATAATAAACCGCTGGGCAGAGGTGGCACATGCCTGTAATCACCACTTTGGAGGCGAGGGTTAGTGGCTTGCACACATGTTGTAATACTCTTTTCCTGTGGGCCTTGACGTGCTGTACCCTTGCTCTCCAGGAGAATGCAGTACAGCAAAAATGTGGACTATACCTGTTCCATCTATATGGGATTGTTCTTTTCCCCTCAAACATGTGGGGTTTATCGCACATGGAAACACTCGTATTCTTTGAATTCCTGCAGTCACGAAAGCTTTAAGTCAAGATGGAAACACTCGTTAAATGGTCGATTACACCTTAATATATAAAAGACCGCAGAGCTTGGGCATTTGGTGGCACTGGCTCACTTGTCACTTCCTTCCTACGTGTCTGTGGTTCCTCCACGCACCTCTGAGTCGTTCTTTGTCTTCTAGAGTGAGTGAATACTGAGCATGTTACACGTTTAAATTATTATATGATAGTTAGAAATCAATAAATCACCACCCTTGAAAAACTGGTTTCACCTCGATCCAATTCTAGGATCTCGGCAGTGTCATTTGAAGACTGTCTTCTGAGCTTCCTTGGCCGTTTCCAAAACAGCAAAACGTTTTTTTAAAGAATAGTTTATTTATACACACATGCCAAACTACAGTTCTTGACGAGCACTTTTGGTTCGTACTCTAAGGACTTGCATAACACTCGGGCAGGAGTAAAAGTACATGTTTTTCTAAGAGCATTGCATGCCAATGAGTGAAGGCAATGGCGACTGTCCTTGGCAGGTGGCTGCAGGAAACGTTCAACGTTCCACTGGTCATCCAGCTGACGGACGACGAGAAATACCTGTGGAAGGACATGGAACTGGAGGAAGCGAACAGGCTCGCTCACGAGAACAGCCGAGACATCATCGCATGTGGCTTTGACATCAACAAGACCTTCATCTTCTCCGACCTGGAGTACATGGGGTGAGGCGATTTGCTGAACACGGTCTTAGCCAAGGGAAAGTTTGTTCCATTGTAAGTGTGTACATCGGTTGAATTGCTGCTCCTAATGAAAATAACACTCTCCGCAGCAGCCTAAAATGCCTATTTTGTTCACGGTGGTCACCCATGTAAGTAGTATCCGAGTTTCAACCCTGCTTAGCTTCTTAAAATTTCGATCATTTTGGGTGATTTGGTCAGCAGAGAGCAGTACAACAAAGTGTATGATTATACTCTCCTGCTTTAATGTCTGTGCTCCCCACCTTCACCAAACCACACTGGGCCGCGTGGTGACGTATGGTCAAGTAACCCCCATGATCTGCACCATATGAAGAGGCCCTCCACCAGAAGTACATGAAAAAGTGCTGTGGCTAATTGGGAGCCTGAGCCTAAACATTAACCTCAACCTTATCTGTTACCTTTCTCCCACATGTAGTTATGGGCATTCCCATGAATTAACTTGGCCCATTACCACTCTGCATGGGCAACTCTAAAATTCTGATGGGTGGAAATATTTTTTAGAGCAGTGTATTTTTTTTTACTTAAATGCTAAGCGTGTTAGTTTTAGAGGCAGCTATGGTTGTAAGGGCTCTTTGGACTGTGTGAGAAATTGTTGAGCCTCAGAAAAGGTAGCCAAATATTATTGAGCACACTTGTGACTGGTGAAGAATTGGCCATGTTCTGGAATAGGATATAATTTTATTCATTTGTAGGTTCCACTGCTTGACGCAGACTTTAGCTCTTGATTGTGAATTGTTACGTTTATTTACTGTTGCTGTAAAAAGTGCATGCGTGTGTCCCTTAAAGGCAATCAAAAGAGTTCTACATGAACGTGGTTAAGGTGCAGAAGCACGTGACGTTCAACCAAGTCAAGGGCATCTTCGGCTTCGGAGACAGCGACTGCATCGGTAAAGTGGGGGCAGCTGTCGTAATTTGCGAGTAGAAAAACTAACAATACAGAACCCTACGCATGTAAATCAGCTCCAGCAAAAACCCATATTGATATGCAGTAATGGTGGTAGTGGTGTTGTTCGAAACGGTGGTTGTGTGACAGTGATCGTGGTATAGAGTGCTTGGTTGTGCTGGTGTTGATGACAGCGATGGTGCCATGTTAATCGTGCAGTAGTATTGATAGCGTGCATGGTGGTTATTTGATAATGATTGTCTCGGGAAGAAGTTGATGCTTGGATGGTGATATTGGTGATGGTGGTGTTTTGGTATTTATGTCAGTGCAGCGATACTGTGACGATGGTGGTGATGATCATAGGTTGATGGTATCTGGTAATGATTTGTAATGGTGGTAGCGATGATGATGATGTTGGTGCTCATGTCTCCACAGGTAAGATCAGTTTCCCGGCTGTGCAGGCAGCTCCCTCCTTCAGCAGCTCCTTCCCTCACATCTTTGGTGCCCGGACTGACGTGCAGTGCCTCATCCCGTGCGGCATTGATCAGGTCGGGCAGATGGTTAAGGGATCAAGGGAGGGGTTTTATATAGGAACACAGCACGACTTCCACCAGCAGTGGCTTTGCACAAGGGATATACATGCAAACTTATATAACAACGATGATTTTATCCAAGTTTATTGTAAAATAGATGATAAATCTCAGTGGCTTTTCACCTTGCTGAATATGAATGAAATGTCTGCGGAAGTGTACTACTGCTGACGCTGCCAATGACAAAACTGCACTCAAGCTGTGTGTGTGTGCGCCGGGCATGGTGCTGGCCACCTACCTCCTCGTATGCCGTGTAGGCCTTGACAGGTGCTCGCTAGCAGCATTTGCAACAGTCTTTTGGGGCTATACAGCTGTACTGCATATGTATAGAGCTGTTTGAGACTTAGTGTTACAGAAGAATGGCAAGAATGATATGACGTGACAAGAGTAACGAAACAGTGTTGAAGCAGAGCAGCCACAAACTGCATGCACAGTTGGTTGAGAAACGACCATACGGAGGATCTTTGTCTTTGTGCATGCATATGTGGCTCCCACAGGACCCGTATTTTCGGATGACGCGTGATGTCGCTCCACGCATCGGCTATCCCAAACCCGCGCTGCTGCACTGCAGCTTCTTCCCCGCGCTACAGGGCGCGCAGACCAAGATGAGCGCTAGCGACCCCAACTCGTCCATCTTCCTCACCGACACGGCCAAGCAGATCAAGAGCAAGGTCCGTGGGCTGCAGTTTGACAGAGCTGCCCGGCCGGATCCGGACACCGGCGCATGACACACGGGAATGCGGAATGCACCAAAAAAACCCACGACCACCACCACATTGGGGGCAGCTGCCTGTTGCTAATCGCCGGGCTACGCATCCATTGTTGCGTTGTTGCTCCTCATGGGCGTACGGCCCCGCAGGCATTGACGAGGCTTGGTCTCTACACAGTGGAACGAAGGATACAGTACAGTCAAGTATAAAGGGGCATTGTTTACGACCAGTTGTTCATTTGCCCAGGGGGGGAATTCTTGCCATGCACCAGGCATGGCAAGAATTCAATTATCTCCACGATTTGCTGACTTGTCACATTGTCCTGTGTCGTTTTTACTGTCTCGTTTTAGATCATTTCTCATATGTTCCGTCTCGTTTAGTTAAGTTTTGCTCCATTGGCCTAAATGTAATAGCATGTCATCTGCATAAACCGTAAACAATTAATGCACACCTGGGCGATTTGATGCGTGCATTGATTATGCAGAAATGTATTGTAATTGACGCATGCTCACATGCCTAGTTAGCAGAGGATAACGGCTGTCATCGTCGTTGATATAATGAAGCAGTAAAAATGTGGCCGTGCTTGTAAAACCAAAAAAATCACAGAGGTGAGCCCTGTCTCAAGTAGCGTCACTCACTTCTGCAGCCACAGCAATGCACCTGGACAATGTGCCGTGGTGGGGTGACATAAGCGTCGCGCGATGGCTTGGGCTGGCAATTACCCACGCCACCGTGTGCGCAGGTGAACAAGCACGCGTTTTCCGGTGGCCGCGACACGATCGAAGAGCACCGGAAGCTGGGTGGAAACGTGGAGGTGGACGTGTGCTACATGTACCTCACCTTTTTCCTGGAGGACGACGAGCGGCTGGAGCAAATCCGCAAGGCGAGTTCAACCTTCCCACCCTGTACCGCCCCCGCTGGCCAGTGCATCCTCTCCGTCGCGTGAGACGCTGCCCGTAGTGGAGATGCGAGAGCCATCCACAATGAGATTTAGTGTGCTTTTCTGTATAATTACAGCAGGTGGAGCAAATGGCAAAGATATTGGCCATGTTGATATAGATTGAGATATGGGCTCCCTGTGTTCCCTTGTCACCTGAAACCACAACTTGTGAATTACAACTGCCCACTTTTGCCAGTTTACTAATTAAGTGTACACTGAATCTGCAAAACTGCTTGTAACACCCCATGTGGCAGCTTTGCTCAATGTATGAGGTTAACCCAGGGTTGAAATGTATGCACTGTGTATTGGAGGAAAAATATATAAAGTGACTTCCAGAAGCACGATTGTAGCACACGAGTGACATCACAGCTGGAAGTGCATGTGAGCCCTGGACACTCAGCCTAAATTTGTATATGCAAGGACTGTTAATTTTTTAGGTTTGGTATGTAGATAGTTTACTGCCGTTGAAGATTGTCATGAATCTGCAGCTACTGCCATTCTGTTGACCTCAGCTCTTTTCTAGTGGGTGGGAGATCGATTATGTTGCCATAAAGGATCAGCTGTAACTTCCTGGCTTCACCAACATAGTCTCATTTTTGACTTGAAGCTTTCGTGACTGCAGTAATTCATATTCTTAGCTCTTTCGGTAAAGTCACGTTGAAGGGAAACAATAAAATCATAAAATATATATACAACAATAAAAAAATCTCACGACGTTTCGGCCATAACACAAACGGTCATCATCAGGTGTGAAAACCAACGGCAAGTAGTGGCGGTTTGCATTTATTTATTTTTAGGCGGTGTTTTTATTTATTTTTAAAAAACGTTAGCACCACGGGCAGCGATTTGGCAGTTTGTTTAGAAGGACGAGTCCATCTATGTTCTGAAAAGAGGAGGGGGGAGACGAAAAATTAATGTATGCTGGCTGAAAGCCACCGTAAGCGTGAACAATCAAGTAAGACCTGAAATGGTTTATCAAATCCTTCCAATGATTGCTAAGCCAGAATCCATCTTCTCGGTTGAAATTGTCTCATTTCAGCATCGGCTGCCAGCGGGGTTCATACATTAGGTGCCAAATTCAGTGTTCCCTTTTTAGAGACACGAAAGGGGACATTGTAAATTCAGCCATCGTTATTCCTAACTGTATCAGCCTGGCTCAAGTATCACATCAGGCTTTCAGTCGTTTGAATAATGCTTGGCATTCCATTACAAACTTGACACCATCAATCCCTAACAACCGTGTCACACGGCAAGCAGTCGGCAAACAGCCACGGCCATAACCTCTGGTCCACATTTACGACACATATCATGCAAGCCAAGCAGTGCGGCCATTGGTGCAGCTATCGAGTGTGCAGGTGCTGCAACTGCACTGGGGTCCATGTATCAGAGGGGTCTTGTACCTGGGCGCCGAAAAGGGAAATAAATTGATCAGGGCGCCCTATTTCTTTCCTTGCACCGAGGCACATGCCGACCACGCTACACTGCCCGGTCCGGCTCTCTTGTGAACGGTGCAGCATGATCGGTGGCGGCCGTTCCGTGTGCATTGCGCGTTTGAGGTAGCGTTGTTGTTGTCACGCGTTGGGGCTGACTGCGGTGGCCACTGCGTTGGGGGTGCAGGACTACACGAGCGGTGCCATGCTCACGGGCGAGCTCAAGCAGGAGCTCATCAGTGTGCTGCAGCCGTTGGTGGCGGCGCACCAAGAGCGGCGGCGCAGCGTCACCGACGAGATGGTCTCTCGCTTCATGACGCCGCGGCCGCTCAACTACACGTGCTGACCGCCGCACGTGCTGACCGCCGCACGTGCGATCGCTCCGTCCCACAGTCCAGCATGTGCACCGACCTACACTTACGAGTAGCGCGCTCTCAAACACGCATGCAGACATTGGCAACCACGCTCTAGTTTAAATATCAGTATACTGAGCCGTTGACTGATCAAAAATCACATTTTGTCTCTCAAGTTGCTGTCACGGGAAAGGGCTTTTTACGAGACAAGGGAGCAAATCCTAACTAACCCCACCCCCAAGCATTATTTCACCCTCCTTCCTGACCCTAATAGAAACGAAACAATAAATTTTGCACTCCCAGAATTATCGTGGCGGCGATTGAGCCGTGATCCCAATAAATAACGGTGCAATGTCGTTGCTTTATGACAGCCCAAAAAGTGACAAATTAACGTGTGAGAATTGAAATATGGTTACAACCCCCCTATACTTCACCTCCCTCACCCATCGGAACGTTTCCGCTCACTGATGACAGGCGGCCGGAGCGGGCCTCCTGCTCTATCCAGACTGCATCGCCGCGCTTCATGAAAGTCTCAGTGGCGATGGTACCTGTGTTGTCCACTGTATCCCCGTGTTATGGCCATGATTGACCCCGCCTCGGTACTGAGTGGGGGGGGGGGGTACTGAGTAGGGGTAATGTGTGGAACGTTCTGGCGGGGAGGTGAGATTAAGGGCTCTTTAACTGGAGGGGTCTTGTATGTATGTTGAACTTCTTTCGCACCATACGTAGCCAACCATACTAATTGGAGGTGCAGGGCAAGGCCAACAAACGAATCACAAAAAGCCAGTTTTAAAGACATGAGTTTTCAATCTAGATTTTAAAGTGCATAGCGCCAATGGCTTCCTCATATCGGAAGAGCATTCCAGACGGCAACAGAAGCGCATCTGAAAGCGTGCGATGCAGTGACCGTCTTTTTTCGATGGGTATTGGAGGTTGTTGTTTTGGAGTGAGGGTAACTGCCTGTCTGATTGTCTTCGCCGCATGGCCCTCATCAACATATGTGTACCTAAGAGAGTTTATTAACAGTTCTGCCCGGTCGGGCCTCAGCAAGGTTTCTCTGTGTGGCGGTGACTGTTCTACGCCAGGGACTCGGGGGTGTCGTCCAGAGATGGCTCCCTGGGCGAGGCAACGTCTGGTATCTCATCCACCTGCGCACACGCACGTGTGTGCCACCCACACACCCCGTGCTGCTGCCACCCCACACTCCACCCCGCCCACAACCTGGGTCACATGATTTTGGGGATATGCTCTCCCTGCTCTCAGCCTGTTGCTAAATTCTCAAAAGGGTGAAGAAATTGCAGTTGTTGAATGTCAGGTTCATCCCATTTTTTTATCTTTTTCTTGTGTCAATGTAACCAAAATCATTCGTTACTTGTTTTAGTTGTGCACTGTTATACGAGAGTGCGATATGAGGGATTCGATTTGAACAGTTTGTGATGCACTATATTTTGGATTATTAATAATAATAGGGTTTTTCCCCTTTTTTCTGGCAACAAAAACTGAAACCTTTTTACAAGGATTCATGTCTGCATTAACCACAATACCTGCAGTCAAAATGCAAACAAAAAACATACTATGATAATATATGCATTGTCCTTGAAACTGATTGGTCCACACCAAGGGACGGCTTTCTTTTGAGCCTCGACCCAATTGGTGCTCGACCAGATGATGCTTTTTGACGCTTTTTGGCGTCATGTGGTCGAGCACCAATTGGGTCGAGGCTCAATAGAAAGCCGTCCCTTGGTGTGGACCAATCAGTTTCAAGGACAATGCATATATTATCATCGTATGTTTTTTGTTTGCATTTTGACTGCAGGTATTGTGGTTAATGCAGACATGAATCCTTGTAAAAAAGTTTCAGTTTTGTTGCCAGAAAAAGGGGAAAAACCCTATTATTACATTTTGGTATTGGGAAAGGCGGTCTAATGGTATATTATGGATGTTACAACTTTTACTTGATTGGTGTTAAAACATTTTTTGTGCGATAACAGCGCTTATCCGTGTCTTTAAGGCCAAATGGGAGATCTTTGTCGTGTGTGTGCATATGTATGTGCGTGTATGTATCAGTGTGCATGCATGCATCTCTATATGTGTATACATCTACATATATATGTCTGGGGCAGTTGTGGAAAGAAAAGAGCACTTTCCATATCTGGGCAGTGTGCTTATAACCAGCCTCATTTTTGTATGGAGCTGAATCAGTCGAGTGGCGTTATCTTTGCACCAGCTGTGTAATGTGTGGAAGCTACCTGGGCTATCGCTCCATACAAAGCTCCATGTCCTCTCAGCCACAGTTACGCCCTCACCTGTGTTTGTGAAACGTGGACCCTTTTGAAGGAACATCAACGTCGGTTTGAAACATTTAGGCTGACCTGCCCACGATCCATCCTGGGTTTAACCTGACTGGATTGTGTGAGGAGTTCAGATCCTTGTAAGATTTGGTCACAGTCCCATCAGTGAGCTCCTCCGACAGGCAAGGCTGCATTGCTTGGGTCATGTAGACCGCATGCCCAGCCACCGCATGTCCAAGCAGGATTTGTTTGGTCGGTTAGAGGGTGCTAAAGGGGCGCGACGTGAGCTGGAGAGGAGATGGGCTGATAAAGTACGGGAGAATGTGGAGCTGAATGGACTTGCTGAAGACTGGTACCAGTGGAGTCAAGATCGGCCTCTATGGAGGAGGTTCACGAAAGATGTTATTGGGCAGTTGGAGGCAGTCGTCCTCCAGCAACAACAGAGGGCGGAGTGCCGGGCGATTAAAACGCAGAAAGATGGCAGAAGAGGGAGACAGCGCATCCGTTAGTCATTTCAGGCAACCCATGGTACCTGAGTCTGCCACGTGATCTGCCAGCGATCCTTGACACTTCACGTGGCCCCAAAGTGCACCTATCCTGGCACAAGCGCCGTGATGACATCACCGCCACTTCGTGGTGAATGTCGGTTGTGTGTGCTTGTATCTCAGTTTGCGTGTATATGTATTTCATGTGTCAGTGTGCATTTGGTTAATTTGTTTTAATCACTAAAAACACCCGACAGGATTTTGCGCATAAGAAATACAGTCCCTCGCAGATTAACAAAAGACCTAACAATTTATAAGTTAACTTATATACCTTTTTGTGTTTTTTCGGCACTGAGAATTTGGCAACTGCCTATAAAGAGGCAAAATAAGACTTCGATGTTGGCCCCCCTATCGCAGCGCCCTGTGCGGTCGCACACCCCTCAAGTCGGCCATGCCGGCACCCCAGATTCCACAGTCCACTCCCACACCCCATATCCCACTCCCCACACTCACTCCCCATACTCACCTCACACACCATACCCACCGCCCACACTCACACCCCATTCCCCATACCCTACAACCCACATTCACGCCCCAAACCCACTCCCCATTCCCACTCTCTCACCACATACCCACTCCCAGCAATTCACACTCGCATCCCATTCATTCCATTCCCCACACCCCATACACCCCCACCCATACACCCCCACATCCCACTGCCCGCACCCAATAGTCCACACTCCGTACCCACTCCCCACACTCCAGTCACACCGCATACCCATACCCACACCCGTGATGTGGCCACGGTGCCAATCACGACAGTGCCACCTGTCCACGCGTGTGAACATGAATCAATTAAACTTCTCGTGTCTCGTTGCTCATCCCAGTTGAGGGTTGACTCGGCCCATCGTGACCACCATCGCCACGCATCTGTGGTCGATAAAATTGGTACCATTTGGTGGGAAGTAAACTGTGGGGCATCCTATGAAATACTGGCCATGCCATGGGAATGTGGAATTGCCACCGCTAGCTAAATGAACAAGCGCTGGCCCATCGCTAGTTTGAGCACACGTGTGTATGGGCACAGCAAGTGTACACCTCCCGTTAGGTCCGCGGCATCAAATAACCCTCACGACCCGGGGAGGCCATCATCCATCAGTCGTTTGACAAAAAGGGCTGTGTTTACCCGATCAAGTGCACACCCCTATTTGTACTGGCAATAGCGTTTGTTGTGTTCGTGCCAAAACCAATTTCTTTTATGCCTCTCCCACTTAAAACAAAAATAACCCTGGCAACCTCACTGACAAACTTTTAACAACCGCCACCTCCACACCTCCCCTGCACAACAGCAACCGACACAACAAGGGCTGCTCACCTTCAAGCTCCCTTCTCAACAAAACGGTATCCCTCATCATCATTGCCACGGCGGTAGCCTCAGTCCGACTGTCGAGATGCAGGGGCAGCGCGAGGCGCGTGTAGTTGATACTGTAAGAGCTCGTAAATGATTTGTGGCGCACAGCAGAGGCAGTTGGCCCTGCGCAGTTGGTGCGCCTTGTCCCCAACACCGCCGTCAGGGATCCTGAAGGACCCAAGCCCCACATTACCCCAGCAGCGCATGGAAGTGACCGTGAAGTTGTCTGAGGACGAGCGGGAATGAGAGCTCGTGTCGATTAGCCAAGGGGGCCCAGTCAAAGTGGTTTCACTGTAAACACCGGGCGAGAAGTGGCCACAAAAACTGAAAAGGTGAGGTCGGTGATGTCTGGCAATGGGAAGGAGTAACACAAAACGTGTGGGTGGCGCACACTGGTCAACCAGACAACCAGCCATGGGTGCTACCTCGCCCAAAGATAACCAACTTCAACTATCCGCGAGTACTTATTCACCCCCGAACTAACCAATCATTCCTACCCAACCCTCCACTAACCCTCATTCTAACTCGGTGGGTGGTCGCTCGTTCCCCTCTGCTCTCTGTATAGTCTGCAACTCCCACCCCCCATCCATCCGTACGACAATCTCTCTGCCCCTGTTCAAGTCCAGCCTCAAGCCCTCTTTTTATCCTCTGCCTAAGACCGACTGCCTTTATTCCCGCTTTCAAATGTATCCACTGTGGCTGTACAGTCTTGAGATGTGGTCGCATTTGTACACGATGTGAATTCATTATTGTATTGTACTCGTGAAGTGTAACCCTACCCACACCCCACCTTTGGCGCTTGGACAGCCAATTCTCACTTTTTGTTCAGAGTTTTGGTGTTCACTGTGCCACCCAGTCAAGTTATTGAGGGGTACAACGTATGGCTTGCTCTCTCCTACCCCCATCCGAAAACTGTTGGGGGAAGATGCCCCAGCTGTCTTCTATTTTCCACGTTTCCAAGCCCATGCCAAGACTTTGATCTTACTTCCATAGCGAGTAGCGTTACGACGTTTCCAATTCACTATATTCATGGAAATAAGTGCTGCTCATTCAATCAACGATTGAATAACCTATGGGATGAATACAATTGTATACGTCCTCTCCGCTGTGCATTCAGGTTGTACAGCATGCGAAGCGAAACGTCGGACATCGAGCCGATCAACACGCGGTATGACCCGAAAACAGTGGAGAGCTTCACAGCAGCTCAACCGTAAACATGTATACGCAGCAGTGTCTGTGCCTTCAGAAAAAAGAACGTGTCATCTTCGCAAGGTGAATCAATGGTATACGCATTTAGGGTGCAGTGAATACAAATCAGTTTGCCATATGCGATCAATCCATCCACTGAGGGAGGCTTTTAAAAGTGATTCTGTCGCGAAATACACCGATGCCATTGGCTGTGTCAGAAGAAACATTAATTTTGGAAAATGGGAAGTCACTCTCAAGGTGTAAAAATGTGATGTTTTTAGATGATCTTTATTCACATTTTCGATGCATGGTACACTCCAACAATAAACACGTGACCTGACGTTACAGGCAGTGCGCATCCATGTTTACAGAGCTCATTGTGGCAATTTAGATTTTTGTTGTAGAGTTGAATTATGTTACTATTATTAAAATAATGCTTTGGTCTTTTCTTCGAATTGCATAACAAAAATGGTGCTACCTGCATATCATGAAATGAATACATTGCCACATGGAACTCTTACATCACCTCGTGCTCTATAAAACGGCCTGCTGAATGAGATAACGCAGAACTACGTCTAAGATGGGGGTCGAGGTGCCATACTTTTGCTCGCTAAAAAGCAGTACAGAAAGTTGACGAATCGCCATCTGTTTCCATCTGTACGGGAATAGAGCGTTGCCCCCTTATGCGTGGGGTTCCTCCCAAT